CCGCCGCAACATTCAAAATGTTCCTCATCACGAACACTGTGCATCGCCCAACCGTCTCACATCGTTGAAGCTCCACTGCACCACCTTGCCCAGCGGCATCAGCAGCGGGTTCAGGTCTGGGTAGCTGTACACATCACCGTTGACCTCGCAGGCGTAACCGCGATTGAACGTGAATTGTACGTCACTGGTGACGACGTCACCCAGCGGGTAACTAGCCGCGGCCAGCGCCGCGTCGCGCAGGTCTGATGCGTACGAGGGGCGCTTGGGGACGCAGGCCTCCTCAATCAGCGGCTGCTTTAGCACCGCCTTGCCGGACGCACCCTGCCGCAGGCGGGGAGATGCACAGGGGTAAGAAAGCGCCAAATAGGCGCGCGTCGGATGGCCAATTTGCGACACACGCACATAATTCATGTCCTTGCGTGCATGACGCCTCGTCAGGATCGCAACTGCCCTGCGGGTGCCCTGCAGCTTGTACGCAGGGTGGCCAATCACAACATTGATGTTGACTTGCAGCATACATCTGACTCTATTGTGTTGCAAGTCTGATGCACGCGCCCCGCCGCGCGTTGGAGGCAGGGCTTGGAATGGGGAGCACCAAATGCTCGCCCTGCACTCTCCAATTCCCTACATCAAGACATCATCACCCAGCCAGAATTTAGACTCAGAAGGCTGAAAAGATCGACGTTGGATAGGGCACACAAAGCAACCCAACCTGAACACGGAAAAGCGCCCACCTTCATCGTGATGGTGGCCAGTACAGCCTGCTGCTGCAAGTACGGGTTGCCATTGAAGCCGTCGTCGCTGAATACCTTGACGGCCGCAGGCCCCGCTGTGAGCACATAGCCCGTGCCGCGGCCGCCCGAGCAGCGCGCCAGGACCTCCACGCGTCCGCCAGCTGGCAGGACGATGCCGGGGATCTTCCTCGGCAAGCGCGGCAGGTACAGGGCTGCAGTGTGTGTCAAGTGGAGGTGCATACAATTGGCAGTGCAGGGTCAGAGGTTTGGCAGGCCAAGGCCTGCCGAAATAGAGACGACCTGGCTTGCGGCCTCATTGACGAGCGGCTGGCTGAGAGCATGCTTCTTGTTTTCCAAAGCAGCGGGCCAGGCGCCGCCTGGAGATTGCAATGAAAGTCGCAGCACCACGCACATAGCGTGTACCCATCGCGCACCGTCCTTGCCGATGAGCATCATTTCGCAGTCTGGCGTGGCGACTTGGTTGTCAGCGGTGGCTATGGTGATTGCGATAAAGCCCTATTTACATGTGCAAACGCCGATTGGGGAGCGGTTCAGGGGGCAAGGCTTTGTTCGACCCAGTGGCTCCGGAGCAGAGTTGCAAGCGCAAGGGAGGACTCGTCCCCCCTGCCAGGAGCAGGGCCTCGCGCAGTGCTTGGTTTGCGCCTTCTGACAACCCGCGGCGACCCTCACCTTGGCGCCGCTGTACAGGAAGCGCCACCTCTGCCACGTGTCGGACTGCATAGAGATCTGCGGCTGGTACCCCCCATTAATGAGGTATATGTCCTGCCCAGTCATGTTCATCGCCAGGTTGCCTGTGGCCGTGCCCTGGAAGGCGTGGCCGTTGGTGTCCGGCTTCGAACAGCAGTATGGGTTCTGGGCACAAATTGGGTTCGTGAGGGTGGAGGCGGACTTGCGGGAGCCGTGCAGGTTCCGAATTGGAATGCAGCTGGGGCCACAGCGGTTAACGGTTGATTGTATCTGGAACTCGCGCATCAAATGTCATCACTTCTGTTTCGGCGACGCGGCTGCGAAGCTTTTGCAGCCACGCGTGTGCCCGTGCGTTCCAAGCCGCCGGGGCTTCACACATGTTGACATGCAACACTCACGTTTGAGATGTTGGATGCCACCTGGATGTTTGCATTGTCAACGTTGGTAGCCAGCGCATTAGGCGTCCCTGGCACTGCGTGTTTAGGTTGCAAGCGGGCAGCGCAAGGGTCAGCTGGCTGGGAACAGCAGCAGGGCCCGCCCGCCGTCCCTGAAAGAGCAGCGGTAAGGTGTGCGTGGTGCTGCAGTCAGTGCACTGTTTGCAGCATGCTTACAGCTGCAATCCATGCGCTCAGAAAATGCAACCCCGTCCTGCAGTTGTGACGTCGTCTCCAAGAATGCAAGTGAAGCCTGGCAATGTTGACCGCGATTGAGTGTGGCACTTCAGGCAACTTGTAGGTACAGTATGCAACAGCTTGCACTGTTTCATTCTTGTTGTCACCACTGATCACCCTCTGATATCCACCATCGCACAAGCTTGCATGGGTGGCTAGCAAATCTTTTGCAACTTTGAAACGTCCGGCAGCTGAACAGCTACTGTCTCCAAGCATTGAAACCAACAAAATGATGCAAGCCCTTGCAAAAACTTGAACAACACCCAGACAGAGCTGTGCAGAAGGCACTCACGTGCAGCGTACTGGAAGAAGAGCAGGGTGGTGTCTAGGATGACGTCATCAGCAGCAGCCAGGACCTGCCTGATGACGTCGCAGCCGCTGCTGCTTATTGGCATCCACACATCAAAGTCGTCGTTCACCAAGATCGCGCCATGAGCGGTGCTGGTCTGGAGGGGCGGCGGGGCAGGGAGAGTTGTGGCAGGTGGTGACGGTTGCAGGACGCCGCTGCAGGCCTCGGGTGCAACCAGAGGGGGGCAAGATTGTCATAGTGATTGACTCCCAGAGTGCCCCATGGGGGCACGCAGGGAGCTCTGGCCCCAAACTGCACCTGTACGGTCGTGCTGCCATGCTTGTGGGGGTGGTACCAGTTGAGCCCCGGGAAGTGGTCGGATGGGAGGGTGCCATTGAACGTGATTGTTGAGGGCTTGTCAGCCTCTGCGACCTTGGCGGGCAGCTTGATGAAGACGTTGTCCCCTCCTATGTACTTGGTGGAGGCGGTGACCTGGCTGGGAGCGCCTGCGGTGCGGTGCGTTCATGCACGTTCCTTGGGTCAGCGGGCAATGCGCGACGAGTCCGGTTTCTCGTCACATGCGTGCGCGGCAGGGGTTGATTGGCCAATGCGGGGTTTACAAACCTGCGCACCGCCAGTGCCGTTGACGGTGCCACGCGCGCGTTGGACCCCTGCGGTGCGACCGTATTTGCTCGACGCCGCTTCCAAGCGCGCTTCCTCCCCCTGCCTACCCTTTGTGCTGCCAGCACCCACCAGTTGGGAAGTGCAGGCCGTGGGAGTGGAAGTTTGTGTCCATTGGTCCATAGAACGGCTTGGCGTTATCCCCTGGCTTCTCGGGGTTGGGATCCACCATCTGGTTTGCAATCTGAACGGAGTACGTGCCGCCCCTGTTGATGCGCAGCGTGGGGCCAAAAGCGAGCGCCTTCTTGCCAGAGTCGCTGATGAACGCGGGCGACGTGAACTGCAGCACCAGGGTCTTGTTCTTGAGCGTGAGCTGCGCGCGGCGTCGGCGGTCCCAAGACAGGATTTGAGGGTTTTTGAGGGCGGCTGGTATGGTGGGTTGGGGAGGCGTCCCCTGGCCCCTTGACAGGGGAGGTGTCGGGGAGGTGGAGGGCGCCGCCACTGGCCCCTGCCCTGTAATGCTGGCACGGCTCGTCTGGTGGTGGTTGGAAAATTGGCCTGCTTCCAACCAGATGGGTGCCTCCTGGGGCCCGCCTGGCTTGTCACCTGGAACGTCACCGGTGACAGGGAAAGGGACAGCTTGGTCACCAGCTGCTTCGAGGGCATCAGCAGCTTGGCCCCCGGCAGGCTGGTCAGCGCGGCGCCGGTTGGGATCTTGTAGACTGGGGGTTTCTTCAGCGCAGACGCACCTGGGATTCATCGGTTAGCATGTGGTGGTTGTCGGAGTGGAGAGGGAGGTGCAATTGCGGTGGGCCGTGCGCCGAGACGCGCCCGCAGCTGGCGGGGTGTGCGTCAAACTGGCTGGTGAGTGACGCGCGCAGCGTACGGTCACTTGATGCGGCCAGCTGGCCGCCATGGTGCATGTGACCGCATGGAGCAGAGCAAGTCGCTACTGCTGAAAATATACCTGCAGCCAATGCGGCAGCCAGCACCAGAACAAGGAGCAGGCGCGCCATAATGAGGCTCAGTGGCGTCTCTTCACTGTCACGAACACCGAGTTCGGCTGGCGGGGTTGGCAGGGTGGCGGGCTTGGAGCCACCAGCGTGGGCTAGTGGGCGTTTCACTGAGAATAACCACAACTCCTTTGCGATGGTGTGCAACTTGCACACGTTGAACGGAGTGCCGACGGCAAGGCGAGGACTGACTAGTGGGGCGGCAGAGTGGTGCCTGTATACCGTATCCTGAAACAAACTTCTAAAGTTATGGCTGACTCGTTGCGTGGCGAAGTTGCCGGCCACACATGTCGTTCAGAGTTGTGACACTCGGAAGTCGGTGCGAAGATGAGATGGCTCGGGTGACACGATTTTGTCGTTGTATATTGGGGTCATATCCTGTTTTCCCGCGCGTAGAGTGCTGCAGCAGGCTAGCCAATAAGCAGCAAAGAGAAGCTCTGCCACACGCGGCGGCGCACCTGTTGTGCGCGCCCAGTCCGCCCTACCGAATCGACCAGCCGCAGGTGCCGCCAGCGCTCCAAGAATTTTGGGTTTAAGGGGCTGTTGCTTACAGCTTCACAGGTGGACGGCGGCCGACCTGGAGCTTGGACTGGTTGGTGGCACCCAAACTGGCTCATCAGGCGGCTGACTGTGTGTGAGAGGGCACTGCAGGCCTGGCCTTTGGTTGCAGACATTCTAGGCGCGAACTTGATGGGCGCACATGGTGTTTTCGCGTAAGAGCTGTGTAACCAGGGGCTACCCAGAGATGGACTGGACCCCAGCAACACAGATTGGTGAGCTGCTATATTGTTTGTGCTCATGACCCAGCCCGGCCGGGTTCGCAGCCTCCTGTAGGACCACGGCATCTCATGTGATGGCCGCCTACAAAGATCCACATACTGGGATAAGTATGCGCTCCGCATGACAAACAAATTTCATCATAGACGAGCGTGCTGGATGTATGCACCGTATTGTGTCGATACCTCAACTCCGGTGGTGGAGGGTCCTGCAGACCATTGTGGATTTGCATCATGCATGAACTAGCTTGGGGGCTGCATCCGGGAACTGTATGCGCGGAGTTCGTATTTGCTGAATTTGTTTGCCAAAGCTGTGCATGTGCTACTGAATACCAGTTATAAACCCGTCTGCTCTCAGGTCGTGCACCTGAGCACCTCGGAAAAAATCGAACGACATGCGGTGCAGCTCCAAATACGTGGAAACGCGGGACGGCCAAAGGGAGAACCATATGATCACCTATTTTGGAAAGGCATGGCGTTCAACGAGGTTGTTGCCGTTCTGCACGCCGCCGGCAACGACGAGGACGCGCTCCAAGATGCAATCAGGCAGGCAGAGGCTGCCGGCCTGGATGAAGTCCCGGGAGAGGACCGGCAAAAGCTGAGGGGTAAGCGCTGGGACCCCATGCTGCTGGGGCGCCGCGGCAGGCGCTGCGGCATGCAAGCCTCGGGGACGTCAACCGGCGGTTGAGCGTGCGTGCATGGGGGGCCTGCACGGCGTGCCACAGACCGGGTAAACAGCAACGTTGTGTGCAATTAGAAGCAGACGGTGTGGGCCTGAAGCACACACGCAATGCACCCGTCACGCGTTCCGCTGCGAGCCCAGCCGCGCGCACGCGCCTGCGCAAGGCCCGGGAGGCGTCGGCCGCGTCGAGCGCCGCGGCCGCCGCCGCGGGGCGCTCGCCGCACGCCAAGGCGTCGTACGACCCCTCAGAGTTCCCGGCCCTGGCTGAGGCTTACGAGACCCTCAAGTGGCGCATGATTCAGAAGCCTGGTGGCGCCACGGTCAAGCCAGGTGCGCCACGTTCAAGCCCAATGCGGGGGCCAGGGCGGCAACAGGCAGTCTGGGGGACCCTGGCTGGTCCCTTCAAGTTGAGGTGGGGACAGCCACTGGTATGCCGGCACATAAAACCAATGCGCTCTCTTGCCTAATGATCATCATGACCCCTCCCCTCCTGGTGGAGTATTGACGTTCCTGTGCTGGCTGCCTTACCCTCTGTGCCCGCGCCCAGATGACTTTTACAGGTGCAGCAACAGCCGCGTTAGATCAAGGCGGAGGCGCACCCAGACGTCGCTTGCTACCTCACTCTTTCCAAAATCTTGATCTGCCTTGTGCCACTGCCGCATCTCTGGAAGCCGCACACCTACTGCATGACATGTGCATTGCACGCCAGCTAGACGCGTTGCTTGCAAATCAGCACCGATGCTCAACACAAGCCGCCCCTGCGCCCATCGCCCCGCTCGTACACCCGGCCCTCCTCCCCAGGCTGTACGCCCTGCACCAGCAGGCCACCCAAGGCGACAACGCCGCGGAGCGCCCCATGTGGGCGGAGCGCGGCGGCCTCGACTTCGAGGGCAGGGCGCGGTGGGATGCGTGGGCCGCGGTCAAGGGCCTTGACGGCGATAAGGCGCGCCTCAGGTTTGTGAAGCTGTTCTGGGAGTTTCCCGCCACTGCGCTGTACAGTGACACCCGCGGCACGCTGGGGGGCGCGGCCGGCGGCGGCGGGGCGGCGGCGTGAGGGGGTGTGCGCGTGCTCGCGTGCGCGGCGGCGGGGCGCCGGCGTGAGAGGCGCGTGTGTGCGAGCGCGGCGGCGCGCTGCGCGGGGGCGGGGTCATCAGACGGGTGACGGCGCTGTACGTATGCTGGGCGCAAGCTCTGCCTGTCTTGCTTGTGGCGTACTGTTTTGCCATTCGATCACCTGCTGCTCAGCCAGCAAGATGGAATTACTATGCTGAAAAGAGCGAGTGCTGAAGTAACAGATGCAGGTGATCATCCCGCCTGCCGCCAGTCAGCCAGCTATCTGGCCGCGCCGCCGCGCCCGTCCGCCGCAGCCCCTCCGGCCCCACCGCGCCCGCCGCCGGCCAGCGCCGCGCCGTCCCCGAAAATCAGCCCCCACGACTCGGCCGCCGCCAGCAGGCGCCCGGCCTCGATGCGATCTGGGCAGACATCCCAATAATCCAGGTCCTGCGCAACCGACAGCGGCCCGACGTAGGACTTGCGGACCTCTGAGACTATGTGAGGCAGGCTGAAGCCGTTGATGGCGTTGTGTGTCGCGATCGCTGCGTTGGGGCGTCGGTGGTTGTGGGGTAAAGGGTGGGGCGGGGCGATGAGCATGTTGGTTGGCGCAGAGGAGGCAGCGGCGCGGCCGGCAGACGGGCACATGCATGCGTGGCGCAGCTACTGCGGTGGGCGGCCGGGCGCCGCAGCTCGAAGTGTCAAGCGCGCCGCTGCTCCAGGATACTGGCAGTTGCAGCTGTGTGGTCGCTGTGCTGCAGCCATGTGGGATGCCTGGCCCCGTCCCTGGCTCCTGGCCCCTGCCCGCTGCCTCCTCTCCCCCCTTCCCTCTCACCCAGCCGAGGCGCCGCGGCCGCAAACATCCGCCCCGCCTCCGCCGGCGTCGTGTGGCTCGTGACAATGTTGCGCCGCTCGCGCACCGTCGTGCCGCGCGCCGCGCCGGCCGCCGCTCCTCTCCCGCCCCCGCCGCCGTCGCTTCCCTCCAACGGCGCGCCGTCTTCAGCCCCGGCCACCCCCTTCTCATTATCCAGCGCCGTGGCCATGGCGTCTAGGACCAGCACGTCCGCCGCCTCTGACAGCTCAGCCAGCGTCATCACAGGCGCCGTGTCGCCGCCGATGACGACGGCCATGCCGCCCCACTCCAGCCGGTAGGCGACCGGGCCCTCTGTGAAGTAGTGCTGGGCGTGGAAATGGGGAGGGCAGCGCAAGCGTTTGGCAACGATGGCGGGAAAGCCAGGCGGCATGGATGACGCCCCGGCCCCTCGTGACCAGAAACAAAGCCACCAGTGCGGCCTTGGCGCCGGGGCGCCGGCGAGCCCCGCAACCCTCAGAGCGACTCACGTCGACAGGGGTTGAGTAAACCCTGACGTCATCCTCGTCATACACCAGCTGCCGCTGACGGCTGTAGTCAAACTCGTGAGCCTCGGCCACGTTAGTCGACTCTGGCGCCTGCGCCTGCCGCATGGCGAACGGCCAGGCGGCGCTCGCCTGTCGCCGCCTTCGGGCGGCTTTACCTTGCGAAGGGCGCACGCAGCCCCCGAAAGCGACTCAGCAAGCCAGTGCAATCTTGAATTTCGAAAAGCGATTCAGACACTAGCCGACATCACAGGACGGCTCGGCGTGTCCGTCTCACCTGCCCACTGGCGCAGCTGCGGCGCTGCTCCGCTGCTGGGCCTGCGCACGACAAGGCCTGCGATGCCGGCAGCGGCTGCTTCACGCGTTCCCTAGACAGCCGGTCCCACCTGCGAGCAAAAGCAATTGTTGCTGGTTTGATGAGCCATGGTTGGAAGGCCAAGATTCAAACAACGGGGGTGCTGCGGTGGCTGCAGCACGGATGGCTTAAACAAAAACAACAGCGGCAGCAACGGCATCTGCCACTTTCCCAGCTTCTCTTCAGCGCCGTGCGCACCCTTCTGGCCGCAGCTGCGTGCCTAGGCAGGCCCCTTCAATGCGGATTTGCCCCGACAGGTTGCATAAGTGCGCGCGATGCGCATCCGCCCAGTCGCCCCCAGGCTCTCACGCAAGCAGCCGGTTGAGCCCTTCCACAAATGCCGCCGTGCCCGTTTCGGGCGTCGGCCCAGACGGCCCGTACACGTGCAGCGGCCCCTGGGCGCGCCCGCCCAGCATCGGGCCGAGGCTCAGCAGGTTGACCGCGTCGGCAATGTGGTCGCCGTGAAGGTGCGTCAGGAACAGCTGCATGGCGGTTTTCGTGAAGGCGTGCGAGCAGGGAGGGCAGGTGGTGCTGCACGTGATGGGTACAAAAATCACATGCGACACAAGCAACTGGTGCAATCATTGAAGCTTGTTATCACCTTTGCGTTGCCAAAAGAGCCTGGCGCTGTCTGCACGGCGTTGATGAACGCACCCTGCGCATGGTTGGAGCAGAGCCCGGGTTGGCGCGGCTTTCCAGCTCCATCACGAGCGCTGTTGCTGCTGCCGCGCTCGTCAACTTGAGGGTGTGAGGGACAGCATGCCCGGCGCAAGCGCTTGCTCGGCTCACAGGCTCACATCGCCGATGTCAAATAAGAACATCTGGCCGCTCCCAAGCTGCAGGAGGTATGAAGTGGAGTACTGGGAGCGCGTCACCCGCGGCACCCCGGTGCCCAGCGCCGTCAGGCGCATGCAGCCTGCGCAATTCATTGAGGTGTTCATGCGGCGCTGCGGGGTGAGCAGTCTGCATCACAGCGGAAGCGGGGCGCTTAAGCAGGCAGCACGCACCTGATGCGGGCAGAGGGAGGGGCGCCGCTGTCGGGCGCGGCGGTGTAGACCCCTTGTCGCTAGCCAATATGGGAGTCAAGAGAGTTACAAAAGCAACTAGAGCTGTAGCGTGTCTAGCACGTGCCCGTGACGGCCTATCCATTGTCTGCTAGGCATGAACCTAAGAACCAGATCAGGGTCGCAGGTTGTCACCCTGGTGGCACTCTGCAAGCATTGCGTGCGTGCGATGCGAAGCAGATAAATTTTTTTATCAGTACAATATACCGAAGTTTCCCGGAAGGTCCAGCACGCCTCAACTTTGAACGACGCAACGCGAGCTTGACGCTACGGTACCCTCTGTGACATGCCCTTGCGTGGCATGGTGCCATTGTGCGCTCAGAACTTCTCCGTGGTAGTGGGGCCCAACGGCAGCGGCAAGTCCATCATCACCACGGCGCTGTTCGTTTTGAGGCGGCGCCAAAAGCAGGTGCGCACACGTGTATGTATGCTGCTTGCGGTGACTGCAATCTATACAGACGTAATTCTGTCATAGCGTGCATGCATTGACAAGGGTTTGGTTACCGAGGGGCGCCCAGAGTGGTCACCACCGTAGACACCGCACACGGCAGATGTGGCAAGCAGCAGTGTGCTCAAAGCAAGTGTGGTATCCCCGCCCATACCCGTTCCACCGGTACCCCTCAATACGCTACATAGCGGGTACGGGCAGGGATACCCACTCGGTTTAAGCACTCTGCTGCTTGCCGCACTTGCCACTTCACGCCCCCGGTGAGACGGTGCCGGCCGACTACGACTCCCAAGGTGGTTGAGAAATACTTCTACATATGCAGTCTGAGCATGCCAGATTCTAGGCCATCGCTTGCGCATGTCTCTCAGCTGAAGCCTCCCAGTAGCTGCAGCCAAGCACAAGCATTTCTCCAGACACCTGCCGAGACCGGGTGCCGGTCGACGCCCCAGCCACCCCTTGCGCCCTCGCGTTTGTTGTTCCCCGACAGCTGCGTTTTTACGAAATGTCAGAGCTGATCAACAACTCCATCAACCATCAGGCGTTGGAGCGGGCGTGCGTGAGTGTTCACTTCCAGGAGATCGTGGACAGGGTGCGCTGAGTTGTGGGCTGATATGGGGGTTGCACGCACAGCAGATAAACAGGGCACGGGTGAGGCCGAGACGACAGGGGCAGCTAATGATCAGACAGAGCCGGCAGCAGCAGCAGCAGCAGCAGCAGCAGCCGCAGCAGCAGTAGCGGCAGCGGCGGCGGCGGGGCCGGCGGCAGCGGCAGCAGGCAGCGGGGGCGACAGCAGCGGCAGCAGGCAGCGGGGGCGACGGCAGCGGCAGCAGGCAGAAGCAGCAGTGGTGGTGCAGGTAGCAGCAGCGGTTGCAAGCAGCGGCGGCAGCAGCAGCAGCAGCAATAGGACTGGTACTCAATCACTGACAGCTCACGTTGGGCGTGTCAAGCTTGCAGGACCTTCGCACTGACCGGCGAGAACGGGGTAAACACCTCAAACCGCAACCGGACTCCTTTAAATCCAGCGTCCTGCGGTGGAGCGTTTGTTTTCGAACCGTTCTATATGCACTGCTCTGTCAAAAAATGCGCCGCGCCGCCTGGTTTCGCCGCCGCCGCCGCCGCCTGTAAGCGCGGTGCGCGTCTCAACGCGCGCCGCGCGCATGTCGCGGTGCGGTGGCGTATGTACAGTTTCAGATGAGCCAAGAGGTGTGGCAGACCAGCAGGTGCCTTTCAGTGGGTGCTACCCCTGAGCTGTGTCAGCTGCCGGAGAAAGGTTTCGAAGGTCCGTCATTGGTCCGGTGCCATACAACGTGCAGGGTCCGGCCAGGGGTCCGGCACACGGAGAAACCGGTTTGGTCGGGTGGTGCTGTCGCGAAGGTACCGCGCGGCCTATGCGCACAGAATAAGGGTTCAAGTATTATTTCGTCAACAAGCAGGGCACTCCGGGGCGACTGCATGCCTGCGCCGACGTCGTTCAGTGTCCGGTAGAGTGTACTGCATGTAAGTTTCGCAGTAGAGGCATTTCATACTTAAAAGGGGCGAATCAGCAGCGTGACATTGTAAACCGAGCCCCCCAACACGCGGTCATCAAAGGCGCGCAGTTATTCCCGGCCACAGGTGCAGCACCTCCCACGGGTCATTTGCTAGTGGACTCGCCAGTGCATAACTTTTAGCTCCAATTTTAGAGTGCGGTCGGCTTGGTTTGGGACTCGATTTCGACTGGTCCTGCAGTGCTGGTGGAGCTGCGTCACCCACATCATGGTGGGCCGGTTTTGGAAAGGGAAAGCTGTTGTTCCGAAAGGGGCAGCTGCAGCAGGAAACAACTTTCACAGACAATGTCCAATACCTGTAGCCTGTGCCTCCCGCCCGCACCCAAGGCTGTCGTGGTCCGGTGCTGCACTTTGCTGTCTCCCTGCACCTCGCGTGGCACCTCGCATACGCCCCTGTGTTGGTGGCAAGTAAACCACAGCACCTCAGCACAAAAACATATGCTCTGTGACTTGCATGCCGTGTGCCATACTATTCCACCATATTAGCAGACAAGAGGCATGGGGGCACGGCTTCACGGCAGCACGGCGCTGGCCGCCCTGCTGCTGCTGGGCGCGTGCCTGCCACAGTCTGCATCTGCACAGCCGTGCCCTCCTGGGCAGCAGCCGCGGGGAGCCACATGCACCGCCTGCACCGGCAACAACTTCTCGGCGCAAGGGACCAAGTGCATCAAGTGCCCGACCCGCACAACCGCCAACAGCAACAGGACCAGCTGCGGTAGGCTGCCAGGCACTCCATCTGCAGAACCCCTTGCTTGTGCCCACAACTACGAATTCATGGCGTGCATGTCAGAAAGCCGATCACTTCCCTGTTGCTTATCTTGCATCCGCCAGGCTGCAGTTTGGGAGTCGTCGACGACGGCAGCGGCGCCTGCAACCAGTGCAAGGCCGGGTTTGGGGGCACCTCATGCAAGCCGGTGAGTGGTCCATGGTGCGCTTGGCAGCATCAAAACACCAACAGCTGCCGCCGCCGCAGCAGCAGCAGCAGCAGCTGCCGCCCCCGCCGCTTCCGCAGCAGCAGCAGCAGCAGCAGCTGCAGCTACAGCAGCAGCAGCGCCAGCAGGCAGCAGCGCCGCCTGCAGCCGCGCAAGCGGTGGCAGCCCTTGTGGCAGCGGCAGAAGCAGCACTCACAGCAACCAGCAGGACACAAAATAGCCTGGATCCAATTGTCTGGCCTGCTGGCGGGTAGCTGACCCCCTCTGACTCTGGCTGTTGAGCGCATGGTGGACCCAAGCTGTTATAATTGGGTGGTCACTGAACTGGGTGGTCACTGAAATGCTCTGTTTGTCGATGCTGTGCACCCCTTTGGTGTGTCGCCACCCTTGCAGTGCACCGGCAAGCGCGTGTCAGCCGGCGGCAGCCTTAGGGCCTGTACTGTCTGCAGTGTTCGAAAGGCCCCGGACAGCACCAGGAGCAGTTGCGGTGCGTACGTAGGCAGGGCGCGTGGCTCTGCTATGCAGAGGGTCGGCACCGCTGCGATGCCTTGGGAGTCTGATGCGGAACGGCATTCTCACCTGATGCCTTGCTCCTCTCTCTGCATTGATCCTCAAGCCTTGTCAAGTGCGTCTGACACATCCGCTGCATGCGGTGACCTTCAGGGTGCGACACGAATGTGGTTCAAGATGGCTTGTGCGACAAGTGCGTCGCCGGGTTTGGTGGGAACACCTGCAAAGCGCGGTGCGGTCGCAACCAGTTCTCCCTGGGTAAAGGCCGCACCTGTTCAGCGTGCGCAAAGGGCTCCACCGCCAACTCCGCCAAGACGGGCTGCACCTGCACCGACACAAACCTGCAGTGGGACAGTGGCGTCAACTTATGCAAAGCGCGTGAGCACCTGGGACCAGCGCTCGTTTGAGGTTTTTGGGGGAAACCAATGTCAGGTGCAGCTGCATGTATGAATTGTAGCTGGCGTGGTGTGCAGGACGATGTGGTGCTCAAACCTTGGATGTGTTGCGTGCTTGAACCCAATGAACAGGTGGCGACGGAGGCACCTTCAATATTCAGCTGATCCGCGTTGGCAACGACAGCAGCCAAGATGGATTGTTTGAGGTGAGACTGTGTTGCACTTAGTGCGATCGCCAAAAAACCGCTTGACCTGGTTATCAGGACCAAGCAAAACAATAGCTAGGCGCCAGGCAAGCATTGAGCATGCCAACATGCCCATTCTGCTTTGCGCAAAGATTCATTTCCAGTGCAGCCAGCCCGTGCTGATGGGGCATGCGTGGCTCAATAGGCAAAGTCCTCTGGGGCCGGCGCACGGGTACTTTCGCCCACCCTGTTGATCGCCACACCACAGGTGACACCCCTTCTTTGCCTCACGCATCCCCAGGCGGCCAAAGCTAAGTGGGAGCAGATCATCAAAGTAGATGTCCCCGACTTTGTCAACACTCGCAACCTCGACTTGTCATTGGGTGACATCCCCAACTACACCAACACACAGAGGAACATTGATGACATTGTCATCATGTGAGCTGTCAAGGCAGGCTAACATGCGGAGTGGCAACTGTGTTTCCAAATCCGGCATGGCAGCAAACAAAGTACAAGTCTACAAGCGTGTGGACCAGCTACTGCAGTCAGTAATTTGCCAGCAGTGTTTTGAATGCCTCATTTCAGATGCAAGCATTTACGTGCTTGTTGCATCTGGGTGCACCCATACTGCGTTGCTCAAAAGCACGAGCCTCTGTCTGGACGCAATGAGGACATCTGCCTCGCAGAACATCTGCTATGTGCCCCAACGCCTGTTGTGAGCTCACCCCCCTTTTGCATCCATAACGACACCCACCGTGTCACCACCCTCAACACGGCCATTGCAGGTACAGCGTTGGCCCATTGCCCGGTAGCATTTTGGGCCAGGCCGGGCCCACCTTCACACGCAACGATGGCAGCCGTTGGGCCCACATCCCTATTGCTGCCACCATGCAGTTTGTGAGCGAGCAAAACATGCGTGACGGGTTGTCCTGCATCTATCTGGAACAATCATTCACGCGCCTGCCGCCTGCATTGCGCCTGGCTGCCCTACATCGCACAGCTTCTAGAGGGGACACGACACGTCTCTGTCAGCGACGCAGCGACCAGTAACAGTAGCGTTGGGGATGGTCAATGTCGGCAGCGAAGCAACGAAATAGCGTGTAGCTGTGGGGACCTGCATGCCCTGCATTGTTCATGGCGCAATTGAGCACCCAACATCATCATCCTGCTCGACAACAGGACATCGCCAAGCTCATCAGACTTGGTCTGAAAGACAACCTAAAAGATGTGATTCTGCATGAAATGGGGTGAGTGCCGTCTAGTGTGTCGCGAGTTGGCAGGCTTGTTTTGCATCCAGCCTGGTCAATCCACTAGTGAAGGGGTTTCCCCCAGCTCGCAACCAACGAACATGCACATAGGCCCTGTCTTAAGGCGCCTCCACTTGCCTGAACTTGCTCGCTTGCGGCGTGTCTGGCAAGCTGCAACTGTTGTGCATCGACCCCAATGCCCTGCTGGGTGGGCAATGCCCCAATCACTGTCCGCAGGCATGCGCTAGGCATGGGCACCGTGACTGAGGACATCAGCTGTATTCAAGGCTGCCAAGTGTTATCAAGGTCATCAAATTTCTGGCAGTGCAAAAATGCAAACGCCAGGTACAAGGCAGCCGGCTGCAAGGGCGCGATACCAATTGAGACCTCCTCTGGCCGCGGCTCAGGTGAGGTGCAGGGAGGCACAATCGATAGCACACTGGACCGTGGGTTGATTGTGAAAGCGCGGCTGCATTCACTGGGAAGAACATTTGCACCCAATTTGTGCAAGCATGCAGCACAGAGAGCATGCAGGCAACACTAGACCAGCCGGTGAAGCTTCCATTGGGATGATTGCATGCGGAGCTTGTGCAACATGTTGAGCGGTTCCAAGATCAGAGATATTGGCTGCGATACTGCCCACATGGTGCACGTAGACTGCGGCCACTGGGCTGAGAGGAGTCTAGGCAACGAGATCATGACACCGGTGAGCCCTCATGACGGCACGCATGCAGGACAACACGCGTTAATGGGGGGGGGGTGCGCCCGAGCTGGCCCTGCATTGGCCTTGTCACAGCCGGGGCGTTACTTCACGACCAGTGGAGACAACTTGGTGTGAGGGTCATTTTCACACATTTTTGCAGGCACTAGACCCAGGCTTCAACCCCTTATCAGCAATCACCATTGGCGCATTTGAAGACATCTACGGTGCGCGCACTGGGTTCAAGAAAGTGGACTGCCTTGCACAGTACCTGCGTGTTTCTAGTACGCAGCACACGCACGCTTTGCTGAAATGTCAAGCCCAGACGGCTGGATGCAGCACCGGGCTTGTAGGCTGCACTGCTGGACTCCTCAAGTACACCAAGCATATACACGCGAAACCGACCCTTTCCATCCCCACAGGTGATGGCAACGTCGACTATTCACTGGCAGAGCCCTTCAGCTGCCTTGCAAGTGCTGCCAACCCGGGCGTCGCCGCGGCTGAGCCTGCAGCAAAACTCAGCTATGAGGCAACCCTTCTGCTGCCGATTGGCTACCCAGGAGTCGGAGCCATCGGTGGCGGCAGCGCTGCCGCGCTCGAACCCCTTGACGAGGGCGCACCTGCAGACCCCGAAGAGCAGGCGGCCGTCGTGGCTGCGCGGCGTGCTGCGCAGCCAGGCCGAGCTTGACTGGTTTGATTTGCCGCTAGCCACAGGCCGGCGGTCGTGCGTGCCGTGCCAAATGCATGCGGTTGAATCGATGCGCACCCCACCATCCGCGCCTGGTGCCACCGCAGCACCTTCAGGGTGTCAACTGATTAGAGGCCTCAGTACTTTTACAGGACTCGGCATGCGCTCAGTGTGTCTGAGCGTAGATGCCACTCATTGTGTTCATAGCCAGCAAGGTGGAAGGTACACTGTGATTGAATCTGCGCTCGTGCAACCAGGGGGGAGCTTGCAGTGCCATTCGCCACGGCACGTCAGAATTTTATTGATTGTGCCTTTTGAACACCACTAGGTGGTAACCCGCCACGCATGGGCGCTTGTAGCATAATGATTGCTCATGTGTCTTATCAATAAGGTAGATTACACTTGGTGATTCAGTGCATTGCAGCACCCCACGATACAGTCTGCCCCCGCTACAGACCTACAGTGAACCCAGCGGGGGTCGGCGGCACGTTCGCTATAGCTGGCTTGTTCGCTATCGCGAAACTGAAATTGGGCAGCTGCTGAAATTGGGGGTAGCGGCGGCGTTCGCTGTAGGCAGGGTTTCGCCATGGCGGGGTTCGCTGTAGCGGGGGAACACTGTACACAGAGGGCTGTGTGAGGTGAGCCACACCCCCCACCCGTAGAGACCGAGGGGGCGTTTTCATAGCGGTAGCATGTTTACCGCATGCCCTTGACAGCCTATCCAATGCCCTGCTAGGCATGAACCAGATCAGGTGGCAGGCTGTCACCCTGGTGCCGCTCCTCAAGCATCACGTGCGTGCAATGCGAAGCAATCCATATGCATTTTGGTATCAGTACAGTAAGACAAAAGGCGCCGGGAAGGTCCTGCACGCCTCCATATTTGAACGACGCAACAGCGATCTTGAGCTTATGAGCAGCACTTGAAGGTCTGGATGTGAAACCTGATCATTGATTACCTCAACATATCGTGGGGCTCGTCGTGGATAAGCGGCGAGCACCATGGCGCACCAAGAGCAGAGGCCGCGCCTAATGATCCGGCAGATGGTGCTGGAAAACTTTAAATCGTATGCGGGGACTCAGTACGTCGGCCCATTCCACAAGGTACGGGACGCGGCGCGCTGCCTGCGCTGCAATCCAGGCACGCTCTGCCATTTGCGCCCGCCCGCGCTGCGCGGCGCTGCACCAACAACGGAGCTTGACACTCCCCTTTGCGACACCCCCTTGCGTGTCATGGTGCCATTGTGCGTTCAGAACTTCTCCGCGGTAGTGGGGCCCAACGGCAGCGGCAAGTCCAACGTCATCGATGCAATGCTGTTCGTTTTTGGGCGGCGCGCGAAGCAGGTGCGCACGCGCGTCTACATGCTGCTTGTGGTGACACAACCTATGCAGTCTGCGCATGCCAGACTCTAGGCCATCACTGGCGCATGTTGCTCAGCTCAAGCTTCCTAGTAACCGCAGCCAAGCACGTGCGTTCCGCATGCACGCCTTCACACAGCCACTTGCACCTCGCTCGGTGCGCCACCCCTTGCGCCCTCGCGTCCATGTGTTGTTCCCCGACAGCTGCGTTTCAACAAGGTGTCAGAGCTGATTCACAACTCCACCAACCACCGGGCGCTGGAGCGGGCGTGCGTGACTGTTCACTTCCAGGAGATCCTGGACAGGGTGCGCTCTGATTTGTGGGTGGAGGGGTGACTTGCACGCTGGGCCAACGCAATAGAGCACGCGTGCTGCTGGGACAGGGCCAGCTCATAGTCAGAAAGAGCCAGCAGCAGCAGCAGCAGCAGTAGCAGCAGCAGCAGCAGCAGCAGCAGCAGCAGCAGCAGCAACAGCAGCAGTGGTGGCGGTAGCAGCAGCGATTGCAAGCAGCAGCGGCAGCAGCAGCAACAGCAGCAGCAGCAACAGCAGCAGCAGCGGCAGCGGCAGCGGCAGCAGCAGCGGCAGCAGCGGCTGCAGCAGGTTGGCTTCGGGTGCAAAACCATTTGGTGCGTTCGCCTGAGAGCGGCGAGTCTGTAACCCCAGAAGCGAGTTGGAGCGGCCGTGAGCTGTGCCAGCACAGAGATGGGATGATCGCAATTGGCCCGGCGTCAAATGCATCAGTAGCGTAGCTATAGCAGCAGAACAAGCAGCCCTGCAGCGACAGCAGGCAGGCAATCGGCCTGGGATGGCTGTTGCGGATCGCCCAGCCGTCCGACTCCGCGTGCCACTCGTGAACCATCTTCCCTGTGCTTTCGGCTGAGCGCACTCATGCGTGCGGCGCCGCCGGCCCTTACCGCTGTCTCCTCCTCCCGCCCTCGTCTAATGCTGCTCTGCCCCTCTCCGCAGGACGGGTCTGACTTTGAGGTGGTCCCGGGGTCTGAGTTCACAGTGGCGCGCACTGCGACGCGGTCAAACGGCAGCGACTACTACGTCAACGGGAAGAAGACCGCTGTCAAGGACGTGGGTGGCGCGGGTTGCGGCTGCGTGTGCGGGGATCCGTACGTACGTGTGTGAGCATGAGTTTGGTGTTGTGCAGGCACACACGCGTGTGTGTGTGTGTGTGTGTATATGTGCATAGGCAGCTGGCACGCGGCGCAGCAGTCACCTCTGCTGGCTGCTCGCCGTGCTGCTGCACCACATGGTATGCTCTCATGGACCAGCCCGGTTTCGCGCGCGCACAGGAGCCTCAGAAAGTGCCCCTCACCACACATTCCACTGCAACCCCTCCAACCCTGCCCTGTCCCCTTTGCCTGACCGCTGTGTCCCCTCCCCCCCACCCCCAAACACCACCAGGTGACGTCCCTGCTCAAGTCCAAGGGCATCGACCTGGACAACAACCGCTTCCTCATTCTGCAGGGCGAGGTCGAGCAGATCAGCCTGATGCGCCCCAAGGCCGAGTCAGATGGCGCGGGCGGCAGGGACGGCAGCCCTGGGCTGCTGGAGTACCTGGAAGACATCATAGGGACGGACAGGCTGGTGCCGCAAATCGAGGAGGAGGGCAAGAAGTGAGCAGCCCTGGAATCCGCGGGGCAGGGGCGGGGGCGGGCGGCTGAGCTGCGGTGGGGCTGCGGGACACGCGGCGACGGGCGGGAGGCGTGCTGCGTGTCTGTAGGTGGCTTCGACGGTGTCCACCTTCCATGCATGTCAGGCACATTTGTGCCAATCACCACATCGCCCTGTGTGTCCAGTCGGTAGGTTTGTCTGAAACCCCGCCGCGTTTCCTGCTGCCCCATCCGTTTACCGCCCCCGCCAGGCTGGAGGAGGTGACGGAGAAGCGGGCCTCCATGATTGGCAAGCTCAAGTCTGTCGAGAAGGAGGTGGAGGGGCTGGCCGCCAAGAAGGAGGTCGCGGAGGCCTACCTGGCAAAGCAGGTGGGGGCTGGTGCTGTGATCGCCGCGGGGGTTGCTGAGGTCGCTTGGGGGGCGGGGGGTTGCTGGAAGGGGGTTCCGGTGGCCTGCAGGCAGAGGGACAGGAGCAGCGTTCTTTGGGGGCAGTAGGGCAGTCTTGGTGGGATTCACCAGCCGGAGGTACCATGTGCAGGTCCGGTGAGCGGCCACTGCCGCCCGCTACGCTGAGGCAAGGCCCCCAGCACGTGCTGCCGGCGGTGTCAAAGCGCGCGCCTCCCAACCGGCCCCCTTGGCCCATGCGGCCTCGCGCCTTCGGCCCCGTGTCGGCCGTCGCGCCAGGCGGAGCGCATCACCAGCCACCTGACGGGCAACAAGCTGCGGCTGCTCAAGACTCAGGTGCGTTGTAGTGGTGCAATCAGTGGGCCGCGTCGCCCATGAATACGGGGCCAATAGGGTCTCTACATGGCCTCCACAGCGCTTTCAGCAAGGCTACTCGTAACGCCTTCGACCTGAGCGCTCCTGTCCTGCCCACGCTCACCTTGCCTCGCGGCAAGCCCCGACGTGTGCACCAAATGCCAACTGCCGCCGACCCCGAAACCCGCGTTGCCGTTGCCATCTACCTCCATAAACCTGTTTGCAGCGCGAGCTGGCGGAGGTGGACACCAAGAGCTCCGACTTTGCGGCGCGGCTGGAGCATGAGACCGCCAAGCTTGCATCTTATGGCGGCGAGCTCGACGCCGTGGACAAGGCGCACGCAGGTGGGCGGCCCGCGGTTCCTGATCCCCTCCTCCTCTTCCTCCCGCCATCCGGCACGCCTCCTCGCGTGCAGACTCTCCCGCACTGCCGTGTAAAGCCAGCGCCTGGTTTGCTCGCCCGCGGGCGCGCACTCCGAAGGCGCCTCTCACACCCTTTTCCCCTGGCGGCGGCGCTGCCGCATCCCCGCGCTCGTTCATGTGGCAGACGCGGACGCGGCGAGCGCGGCGCTGCAGCGCGACCTTGACGCAGCGCAGGCGCGGTTCAAGGAGTTTGAGCTCAAGGACGCCAAGGTGTGGGCACTTGGGGGTGGGGTGGGGGTGGGGTCAGAGGGTGACACGGTGTGTTGCAAGGCAGCGTGCGATGGTGGGCGTGGGTGTGTCCGTTTATGTGCGAGAAGGTGTGTGCACTTGTGTGTGCACTTGTGTGTGTATGTGTGTGTGTGTGTGTGTCAATGCGCGCGCACACGCTCGTTCGTGCGATGCACCTTGGTTGTTTTTCTGCGAGGAGATGGTGCTGCTCCTGGTGGGTTTAGGGTTTCGGGTTTAGGCTAAACCCTTAACCCTGGGCAGCGATCAACTGATCGGCAGCGATGGTCGAGGGCGTTCAACGGGTTGGATGGTGCCGATGCCCGTTGGAGCACCTTATCTACAGGAGCTGATGGGACTGCACAAAGCCGCCAGCTACGGCTCCCTGCCATTCCACCCTTCCCGTCACCTTCTCCCCTCTCCGCCCCTCGCCGCCGCACCCCACCCACTGAACCCCAACACTAAATCCCAAACCCCAACTCTCAAAACCAGGTGCGCACCGACCTCAAGCACCTCAAGGAGAAGCTCAAGAAAGCTGCGGCCAAGAAGAAGGCCGACGGCGGGGAGGCAGAGGTGGGGCGCCCTTGCCCTCCACCCAGACTTAGATGGGCCTGCAACCGACCGACGGCTGCACCTCCATGCCCCGCGGGCCCCTTTCGAAAGCCGCAAGGAGCGGGAACGCCATGGCGTCGCCTAGGCTGCGGCGGCGCGGCCCCCATTCCCTGCTGACGCCGCTGACGCTCTCAACCCGTGAACCCCGTTGCTCTCCCTCGAACCCGCCAGACCCTGGAGTCGGACATTGCGCGCTGGGCAGAGGAGGCCCCCGCCGCGGAGGAAACCGCCGGGAGGCTGGCCGCTGAGCTGGCGGAGGCTGAGGGGAAGCTGGAGGGGCTGCTGGAGGGCATCAAGGGGGAGGTTGAGGGGCACCACCAGGCCCTGTCCAAGGTGCGATTGGAGAATGGGTGTTGGACCTTGATCAACCAGAATCCGAAGCTTGCAGCAGGGTGCTCATCAGTGCTGATCTTGCGAATTCACAATGGTGGGGCTGCATCAGTGACCCGGCGGTCGGGCTAACAGATTTCGTCGCCCAGCAGCAGTGACGCCAAGGCTGCCTCAGCAGGGGTCCTCCCGCTGCTGACGCCGCCCCCTTCTCCTCGCTCGTCATCACATCTGTCACCGCCCTCACCCCCGCTCCCTACCCCCCTTTCCCACCCCCCTCTCCTAACCCCCGTCCCCAGGTGCGTCAGGAGCTGGCACCGTGGGAGGCCCAGATGTCGGAGGTCCAGGGCCGAATGGAGGTGGCCGCCAGCGAGAGGGACCTGCTCAACCGCCGCGGGGAGGAGGCCAAGGTGGGGGCTTGCACGCGCGTTTGCACGCGAGCGCGCGCGCATGTGTGTGTGTGTGTTGAAGAGTGCAGACCATATCTATTTTCGTGACATCAGAGAACTGTGTGCCTTGCAGCCGCCAGGCTGCCTGCTCTGGTGGGTGCAGGTGAGATTAGCGCATCAGATTGCTGCCGCTGCCGTCTGCGCGGCCCCGCGGCATCCCCCCAGGCGCGGCTGGAGGCGGCGCGCGCGCAGCTGGTGGCGGCGAGGCAGGCTGCAGAGGACAAGGGGCGGGAGATCGCAGCCATTGAGGCCGAGTCTGCTGCCACCAGGTCCGTCCCTTGGGTCCTGAATCTGGGCCGTCTTCTGACTGCGACGGGGCAACAGCAGTGCGATGTGTCCGCCACAGTGACGCTGGGGCGTATGCTTGGGCGCTCTGCTGTTACTTTGGGGAAAGCCATTGGATTAGCCGGCGCTTTCATTCTAAAGAGTCTTTCAATCGGCCGGCCGCCTGTACGACCTCATCAGCCGAGCTGCAAATCGAGGCACAAGAATATCCCGCGCACACGAAACGCCCCCGCAGGGAGAAGGCCGCCGCGGCGCGCGCCCAGCTGGAGGGCGGCGCCGCCAAGGAAGCCGACCTGGAGGGCCGCCTGCGCGCGCTGCGCCAGCGCGTCGCGGCAGCAAAGTCGGAGTCGGCGGGCGCGCGCAGCGCCGGTGCGGTGGTTCAGGTGGGCGGGGGACGCGTGTGTTTTGCGGGGGGTGATGATGGCGCGGGCGGGCGCGGTGCGCTGTCGGGTGGCAGGGGGACCGGACCCAGGGGCCCGGGCAGTGGGCTGTTGGTCGTCTCTGGACTGGTTTAAGTATGGCAAATCGAGCTTGTGGCACTCTGGAGCCGTGGGTCTCATCGTCACTCCATGGCAGGCTTGGCCATTTACACTTGCTGCACAGCGTAGCAATGCAGGGCTATGGCAGCAACGCAACCCGGTCTAGGTGTAACTAATCAAATCACTGCAACAGCACGCCCATCTACAGCCCCTTGCCTCACCATCGCAACCTGGCCGCTCCTGACAATCGCCCCCACACAAATCATAAAGGGCGCGTGCACACGTGCTTATGACCATGAGCATGCGTCTGCACCTGCTCGCAGACGGCCCCACCCTCCCCCCACTTTCACACAAACACACACTCACGCAATCACTCACGCACAAACACAAACACCACAAATACGTCCACACATTTACACATGCACACATGCACATTATGATGCAACCACTCACAATCACGCGCACACAGTCTGACACACTCACTCAATCTCACTCATTCCATTCAGGTCCTAATGGAGGCCAAGCGCAAGGGGGAGATCCTGGGAGTGCTGGGGCGCCTGGGAGACCTGGGGGCCATCGACGCACGGTGCGAGGAGACGAGCACTGGCGTTGCGCGCACACACGCTATCTGCACTTGGCACACCTGCATGCAGGCACATAAAAGTGTGTGTGTGTGTGTACGCGCGTATGCGTACGTGGTTGTAAGTGCGTGCATGCGTGTGATGATGCATGCACACACACAAGTGTGAGACGAAGCCGTATTTGTCAGCGCAACCGGCCAGGCCGTGTGCGCTCCCTTCTCATCACCCAGCATCCCTCGACGCCCCATGCCCACTGTTAACATTCAATGTCTGGCCCCCGTCTTTCCCCTGATCTTACGGCACCCTCCTCCCGCCGGCCCCCGATTCAGGTACAACGTGGCCGTGAGCACAGCCTGCCCAGCGCTGGAGTACATCGTAGTGGAGACCACCGCAGACGCACAGGCGCGCACCCTCGCAGCCCGCACCCCCCTCAACAGCCGGCGCCCCACCACCGTAGCTGCCCCCAGTCCGCTTGCCGCTGCGTTCTGCGCCGCCCCCCGCCGGTGCTGGCCGTTCGGATTTCCTCGTCCGGATGTCAAATGCTGCAAGCGTGGCTGTGACATTTATTGAGTTTGATGCGTCGCAGGATCCTCGGGCAAAGCCCTTCTCCTTGTAGCAATCTTTGCGTCATAAGGGCTGATTCGGCGCCCCGCCCCCATATCGCGCACGCACAACCCGCGCGTTCCTCTCACCCCCAACCCGCCATCGACCCCCATCCTGACCGCCACTGACCACCATCCCGCCCCGCTCCCCGGGCCGCCCCTGCCCTCTGGACCCGCAGCGCTGCGTGGAGCGGCTGCGGCGGGAGCGGGCGGGCGTTGCCACGTGCCTCATCCTCGAGAAGCAGCGGCACCTGGTGGCGGCCATGGAGGAGAAGGTGGCGCCGCCGGCTGGTGAGTGATGGCAATCCACTCGACATGGGCTGTGCTCTTGTGCTCTTGTTGAAGAAATGGCATAATCTGCAGAGGGGAGTCGGAGCCCGTGACAAGTGTGTGCGCGCGCGTGCATGTATGTGGCTGGGGATGTGAGTGCGAGAAAGAGTGTGAGCGCATGTGTATGCGCGTGTGCGTGTGTGCAAGTGAGCGTGTTTGCGTCTTGATACAACAGGGGTGGGATCCCGGGCCCCTGACCCCGCCCGCAGGCTCCCAGCGCCTGTTTGACCTGGTGCGAGTGAAGCACCCTGCGGCGCGGCTGGCGTTCTGGTACGCGCTGCGCAACACGCTGGTGGTGGAGGACATGGACACGGCCAGCAGGTGGGGGGCCAGGGTGTGTGTCTTGACGCGCGCGTGTGTGTGTGTGCGTGTGTGTGCGTGTGTGTGTGTGTGCACACGCGCGCATGCGCACACGCATGGGCCTGCAAGTACACAAGAGTGAGGGCGAGGGGAACGTAGTGTGAGTGTGGGTGACACTCCCCCCTTGCCCCTTGCCCCTCTGCCCCGCGTCAGGATTGCATACGGCGTGGGCCGCCAGGACGGCCGCTGGGCGCGCGTTGTGACTGCGGACGGCCAGCTTATTGCAGAGAGCGGCACCATGAGCGGCGGCGGCAACCGGCAGCTGCGCGGGCGCATGCGCATCGGCAGCGCGGCGCCGGGCGCCGGCGCAGGTGGGGTTGCCGCGGTGCCGCTGCTTGTGGCTGCTGTTGCAACACGTCACTTGAGGAAGCCTTCTATTTGCAGTGAGTTTGTCTGTCCCATGGCAGGCAAACACAACACTCGAGGACTCAACCCTCAACCATTGGCTCGCAGGTGCCGACGCCAAGGCCCTGGAGAAGGAGCTGGCGGCAGCGGAGAAGGAGGCGGCGGCGGTCGAGGGCGAGCTGCGGGTGCGGGGCGCGGCCGGCGGCGTAATTGGTGGCAAATCGGCTTTGCACAGGCCCGCCAGCTTGGTTGGGGGGGCGAGGGGGCCTGCCCATTAGCCCTGATGTTTGAGTATGATATTGGTGGGCTCTGGTGCCCTTTTGCTGGCTGCTTTCCTCTGCCTGTGTGCCTCAACGAATGGCATCATGGACGCAGTGCACGCACTCACGCCCCACGATTTGGGTAGCTCTGCACAATTCCTGCAAGCACAAACAAGCTCCTTTGTCTTTCCAGCGCAAAGCCCAACGCCGTCATCTACACACACACACACACACACACACACACACACACACACACACATACACGCACACACAAACACACACACACGTGCGTGTGCGTGTGCGCCCAGGCGGCGCGCGAGGCGCGCGACCAGGGGGAGCGGGCGCTGGCGGCGCTGGACAAGCGGTTAGCAGAGCTCGAGCTTGCGGCACCCAAGGCCGCCCAGGTGCGCGGCCAGGGGATGAGGAAGGGCGGGCCGTCGCGTGGCAGGGAGCGGTGCCAGGGGGGAGGGGGGCAGGGGCACTGCAGGGTGCGTGGCGAGGGGCGTGTCCCGGTCTCTCGCCGGGACGCCCCGGCTGGACGATGGTGCGCCGCTGCTGGCCATGCCGGTGCGTCATCACCAACATGGAAGTATGCTGCTGATACCTTCAGATTTTCGTGTTCATGACGTCATGCCGCCCTGCTTGATGCTGACTCGGATCTCAGGTGGCTGACGCAAAGCAGCAGGAGGCGGTGGACGTGGAGGCGCGGCTTGCTGAGCTGGAGGTGAGGGCGCGCACGTGGATGTGCGTGTATTTGGGGAGGCTGGAGTGGTGGGACTTGCGGTGCACACACACACACACACGCACACACACACACACACACACACACGCACACAAACAAACACATAAACACACATACACACACACACACACTGCCCCCGCCCCCACAGGCGGCCACCCGCGTGTCCAAGGAGGACGCGGCGCGGCTGAAGGACCTGGCCGCGGCGCTGTCAGGGGAGACCACGGCCCTGGCCAAGCTGCGGGCCAGCTGCGCGGGGCTGCAGAAGAAAGCGGCAGAGATCCAGGTGCATACCTGTGTATGGCTGTGCACACGGGGGGCATCAAGTCTGTGTCGCGTTTTTGCGGTTGCAATTGTGTGAGCGCGTAATTGTGGCTGTCTGCACGCTGCCTGTCTTTCTCACGTCCGCGACATCCCAGTCAACCCTACATTGATCAGCGTTAGCAGCATCACCCTGCACAACCCAACCCCAGCCAACGCCACCCCACCCCAGGCCAAGATCGACGGCGCCGGCGGCGAGGCGCTGCGGCGCGCGCGCGAGCGCGTCTCCAAGCTGCAGGTGCGTACGCCTGTACGCATCGCCCCAGGCAGGGGCCGCGCGCGGTGGCCGCCGCTCTGAAACAGCTGCCTGCGGCTCCGCCCCACCCAGTGCGGCTCTCCATGCGGCCCCACTCGGCCAACTCATCAGACGGGCCTCCTTTTTCTGTCTTGATGCGCTACGCATATGCCGCTTTGTTGACGTTGCGGCTGTCCCCTGCATTGACGCGCACTTGTGTGCTCCTGCGTCCCCTGCATTGCCATGCCAGACCCCATCATGCATACCCTGACCCCTGAATCCTTGCAGGCCACGATTGGGGAGTGCGAGGCGGTCGCGGCGAAGATGCGCGCACAGTCAAAGGCGGCTTCAAAGCAGCTCGACAAGCTGAGGAAGGACGCCGTCAAACAGGGTGGGTTTGACCAATCTGGGGCGCGTTTGACCGCGTTTGACTGTGCGTTGTCCGGGCCGTGGGCCGCAGCCCTCGAGCACACTCCAGGTGACCCCCTGCATGGCCTGCCCCCACCTCGTGGGCACCGCCACCCCGCTCCCTGGCAGCATCCCCCCGCTTGATTGCAAACACAACGCATGGCGACGTGTGCTGTCTTATGCAGGCTCCGAGGTGTCGCGGCTGGAGGCGGACATAGCTGGCGCCCTCGAAGCCCTCAAGCAGCTGGAGGCAGATGCGATGGAGGTGCGGCCGGGGCCAAAGGCGCCGGTCACTCTGCCGAAGCTGGCCGCAAGCGCTTCCCGGTGGCCCCGCGCGCTGCGGTCGCAGCTGGCGGTGCGGCCGGGGCCCGCCGTCTAACGGGCCGACTGGCGCGGGCGTGACGTGCGGGCGAGCGGGGGTTGCGCTGGCGAGGCGCCAGCGGCCGCGTTTTGGAGGCGGGCGGGCTCCGGTGCTGGATGTGCCCCATGCCGCAGCCGCCAAGGGGCTTGTCGTGCACCGACAGCGGCAGCACGTCAGTCTCTCTTGGCGCCTCGCCCTGTATGCGGAAGCGCCACCAACTCGACGCCCTGCGGCCCCGTCACTTGATGGTGGTGTTCTTCACCTCAGGTGATGGTGGCCGTGGAGGAGCTGCAGGCCGGCAAGGGCCAGGCTGACTCAGCGCTGGAGGGCGCGCGCAAGGCCAAGGAGGACAAGCAGCGAGAGGTGCGCCCCCCGCCGGCGGGCCCTCGACGCGCGCGGCTGCCTCGCCCTGACCCATGCGCTCTGCCTGATTCAGGTTTGCCCAGGCACATCGGAGACACGGCGCGGCTCAGCGCTGCGGCCCCCCTTCCCTTGCAGCGCGTTGCATGTCCCGGCTCTTTCGACCTGAGCAGAACCTCAAAACTGGAATGGACCAAACACGACAATCAAGTTCTTGAAACAGTCACATAAATAATTGAATTCTGCTGCTCTTAACCCCTATCAAAGCCATGGCCTTGAGCTGATGCTGTATATCTTACATAATCATGACGCCCCCCCCAGGTGGGCGTCATCAGGGGCGTCCAGGTGGAGCTGGAGGCGGCCCTGGAGAAGCTGCGCGCCGCCAAGAGGGAGGCGGCCGCCAGCGCCAAGCAGCTGGAGAAGCTGCTGCGCGCTGACGAGGCGAAGCTGCAGGAGTACACGGGTGGGGGCAGGGTGGGGGAAGTGTGGGGGTTGTGCGTGTGCGAATGCTGTGGCCTGTGTATACAGTGTGCTTGTGTGTGTGCAGGCGTAGTGTTGTGGAGAGTTACTGCTGTGCTCCTTGGTCAGGCGTCTTCGCAATCACACGAGACAGCTCAAGGCTGCGCGCCAAGCGAGGCTGACCTGGGGTTGCCGCTTGGAGCCGGTCCGGCGCCAGCCAGCGCTCGGCAGCAGCCCCGCAGCCCGGCCCCTTCGCCCCAGCCCCTGCTCTCCTCCCTAAAACCCCCTGCCCAACGCCGACGCCCCCGCCCCCGTCCCCGCCCCGACACCCTCCAGACGCGCCCGCTGCTGAGCTGTCGGAGGCGCAGCAGGCGCTGGCCGGGCCCGCCCTGGCGGAGGCCATCGACGCCGCTTTCTTCCAGGTCAGGAGGGACTGACAACCACCGGAACTCACCACTGGATGAATTAGTAGATGCTTTCGGCCGCGTGCGTGGCGCGCTTGCACATGCAGCCTTGGTGTGCGCACTTCTGTGCGATGCACTGTGGTCCGCTTGTGATTGCGGAGGGTCAACGAGCGCCCCGGCTGACGGGCGAGAAGGCACAGGGCGCCTGCCCACGCACACAGCCGTGCGCATGCGCGGTGCTCGCGGCGCCCCCTTGCGCCTGGCACGCAAACCCCATCGAGCTGCCGGGGCATCTCACACCCCAGCCGAGTAGCATGTTCGTACCCACAACACACACACACACACACACACACACACACACACACACACACACACACACACACACACACACACACACATCCTTCCAGCTCCTCCCACGCCCTGCGGCTCTCCTAACGCCCCACCCTACCCCAACAGGTCACCGTGCTTGAGGAGCAGCTGCGCGGCATGAACCCAGACCTCGCAGCCATCGAAGCCTACAGGCAAGCGCAGGACTGGGCGCACGTCCCTGGCGGCACTTGCTCCCCTCGACCGAGGGCGGAGGCCGCGCTGCACTGCAGCACTGCAGCCGACCGCAGCGCGCCTGTCTCCCAGCGTGTTTCTGCCCTCTGATCGCCTCGTGCCTGCTCCCCGCCCGTGGCGCGGCCCCCGTCTGCGTGCAGCGCATGAGGTGCGGCGGGGCGCCCTCGACCCCTGGTGACGCAATGGTTCTCCCCCCACCCACAATGGTTCTCCCCCCAGCGACTCGAAAATCCTTGCCCAACCCCACAC